AAAAAAAAAATTAGAGAGGCTGGGGATTTAGCTCTGCGGCACAGCGCCTGCCTGGCAAGCGTGAGGTCATGAGACCCTGATTCCTGGTACCGGAAAAAAAAACAAAGAAAAAAAGAAATAGAATCAATCTCAGGGTGCTGCCATGAAGAATAAGTTGAATTGTGTCATATTCTGCTAATTAATTCATTCAGCATACATTTGTTTTGCTTTGTTTTGTTTTGTCTTTTTTGAGACAGGGTCTCACCATGCAGTTCAGGCTGGCCTTGAGCACACTTTTTAGCCCAGGCTGGTCTCAAACTCGAAATGATCCTCCTGCCTCAGCCTTCCGAGTGCTGGGATTACAGGCGTGAGCTCCCACATCAGGCTCATTCAGCACATATTTATTGAGGTTTTGTAGTGTACCAGGCACGGATCAGGACAGAGAACGTACCATCCTGGAACACAGTGAGCCGTTGAACCTGACCCTCTGGGAATGCTCATAATAAATAATTTCAAAGCCTCACATGATCATTATATGTCCAGTGTCTTATTTTTACCATCATAGAAAATTATTCCAAAAGGAGGATTTACTTGCAATACATGTAATTTTTAGACATGGTGCAGTGACTGGAGATAATAACAGCATACTGTGCCAGGTGTGGTGGTGCCCGCCTGTAATCCCAGCACTGGGGAGGCTGAGGCAGGAGGATTGCTGTGAGTTTGAGACCAGCCTGGGCTACAAAGTGAGCTCAAGGGCAGCCTGAACTGCTTAGCGAGACCCTGTCTCAAAAAGAACAAAACATAAGTAAATAAATAAATAAATAAATAACAGCATACTGTGTACTTCAAAATGGATGACGGTAAATTTCAAAATATTTTCACCACAGAAATTGTATTTGCAACAATGGTTATGCTAATTAGCTTGATTTCACCATCCCACATTGTATGCATGTATCACAGCATCACTTTATACCCCACAAATACATGCAATTATAATGTGTAAATTTACAACAGGATATTTTTAATTTTAAAAATTACAGATTGTTTTTAGTTTGTTTGTTTGTTTTGTCTTTTTGAAACAGGGTCTCACTCTGCAGTTCAGGCTGGCCTTGAGCTCACTTTGTAGCCTAGGCTGGTCTTGAACTCTCAAGGAGTCTCCTGCCTCAGCCTCCCCTGAGTGCTGGGATTGCAGGCATGCGCCACCACCCCTGGCTCTACAAATGGTTTCATAAGAGCAAA